ACAGAGTGTAAGGACCTGTGGGATGACACAAGTTGGGTCAGCATATTTATTGTTGGAGTCCATAATGAGAGAAGAAAGAGGAAGGGCAGAGAAAATATTTGAAGAAATAATGTCTGGATACTCCCTTAATTAAAAAAAAAAAAGATGCGAACGTAATCCAAGATACTCAATGAACCCCAAGGAAGATGAATTCACAGAGGTCTACACTGGGGCCTGCACTGTGGTATAGTAGGTTAACCATCTGCCTTTGGTGCTGGCATCCCATATGGACACCAGATTATGTCCCGGCTGCTCCTCTTCAGATCCAGTTCTCTGCTAATGGCCTGTGAAAGCAGTGGAAAATGGCCCAAGTGCTTCCAACCTTGCACCCACCTGGGAGACCTGGAAGGAGCTCCTGACTTCAGATCAGCCCAGCTCTGGTTATTGTGGCCATTTGTGGAGTGAACCAGTGAATGGAAGATCTCTCTGTCTCTCCCTCTCTCTGTCTGTAACTCTGCCTCACAAATACATATTTTTAAAAAAGATCTACATCAAGATCTTTTGTAATAAAGCTTTCAAAAGCCAAAGCTAATAAGAGAATCTTTAAACCAGTGAGAAGATGGTAATTTCTTTACATACAAGGGATTCTCCATAAAATTAAAGGCAAATTTTTCACCAGGAACCTGGGAGCCACGAGACAATGGGTTGATATATTCAAAGTGGTAAAAGAAAAAAACTTGTCAACCAAAACTCCTATTTCCCATAAAACTGTCCTTCAAAACAGTGAGAGAGAAGTTAAGACCTCAGATAAACAAAAGCTGAGGGTGTCCATGACCACTTAATCTGTCCTATTAGATGTTCTCAAGAGAGTCCCAAGAGTGAAATTAAAAGTCACCAGATGCAAATCAAAGCTGTGTGAAGAAATCAAGACCTCAGTGAAGTTAAAGACAGGGATAGCTATAAAAGCTAGTATTGTTAAGTATGGTTTGTAACTGCTCTTTTTATTTTCTACATGGTTTAAGAAACTAATACATGAAAAAATGATTGATCTAAAGGCTAGTATAATCATAACTTTGCTTTGTAACTCCACATTTTGTTGTCTACATGATTTAAGAGACTAGTGCATTTCAAGAATTATTAGCTTGTATTTGTGGGTATACAGTGTAAAAAGATGTAATTTTGTGGTATCAGCAATGAAAAAGAACAAGGACAGAGCTTTTAAAGGAGCAGAGTTCTCATATGTTGTTGAAATTATGCCAGTTTGAATTCAAATTAGATTGTTACAACTTTGGAAAGTTAAACGTGACCTCCATGATAATCACAGATAAAACAGCTATAGTGTGCGACAAAAGGAAATTACAAAGGAATTTAATGTTTTGCTACAAAAAAACTAAACACAGAAGACTGTAATGCACAAAATGAAGGAAACAAAGCTATCGGACATACAGAAAACAACTAGCAAAATGACTTAGAGCCCTCCTACTTAGTAATTATTTATATGTAAATGAAATCAACTCTCCAATCAAAAGATTAACAGAATGAATTATATTATAAAACAGAATCCAAAAATGTGTTGTCCATATGAGACATTTATTTTTAAAATTTATTTGAAAAGCAGCAAGCAAGAGACACAGAGAAGAGAGACAGAGAGAGAGGTCTCCCATCCACTGTTTACTCCGCAAATGCCCACAAACAACTGGGGCTCAAGTAGGCCAAAACCAGGAGCCGGGAATTCAATCTGGGTCTCTCACTTGGGTAGCAATGACTACTTGAGTCAGCACCTGCTACCTCCCAAGGTATACATTAACAGGAAGCTGGAATCAGGAGTGGAGTTGGGACTCCAGTGTAGGCACTCTGATATGGGATGCAGGTGTCTGAAACAGCATCTTAAAAACTATGTCAAATACCTCCCTCCAAGACTCATTTAATTTTTATTTGCTTATTTTCATTTTATTTGAAAATCAGAAAGAGATCGTCCATCTACTGGTTCATTCCCCAAATACCCATAAAAGACAGGTCTGGGCCATGCTGAAACCAGGAGCCTAAAGTTCCATCTCAGACTCCCATCACTTACTGCCATGCAGGGTGTACATTTGCAGAAAGCTGAAGTCAAAGAATAGCTGGGGAGGAGGGGCCAGTGCTGTGGCGCAGTAGGTTAATCCTCCACCTGTGGCGCCAACATCCCACATGGGCCCTAGTTCTAGTCCTGGATACTCCTCTTCTGATCCAACTCTCTGCTATGGCCTGGGAAAGCAGAAGATGGTGCAAGTCCTTGGGCCCTTGCACCCATGTGGGAGACCCAGAAGAAGCTCCTGACTCCTGGCTTTGGATCAGCTCAGCTCTGGCCATTGTGGCCATTTGGGTAGTGAGCCAGTGGATGGAAGACCTTTTTCTTGTCTCTCCCTTTCACTGTCTGTAGTTCTACTTCTCAAATAAGTAAATAAAATCTTAAAAAGTAGCTGGGACTTGAACCAGAGACTCTGATATGGGATGGGGGTATCCCAAACTGCAACTTCAGCTGCTACACTAAATTCCTGTCCCCTGAGACTCATTTTAGAGCTAAAGATACAAGTGGATTGAAAGTAAAAGATGGAAAAAAGATCGTCTTTTAATGCAAAGAGTAAACACAATAAAAAAATAGCAGAGGGGGCTAATATGAAGTAAATTTTAACTCACAAGAACACTATTTTAATAAAAGATTCAATAAGAAAATATGGTCATAAAAATCTGGTCATTCTAAACATTTGCACACATAATTATAGATCACCAAAATGCATGAAGCAGATACTCGCAGATCTAATGGGGAAAAATAGGTCATTCTACATACTAGTTGGAGACTTCAATATCCCATTTTTTTATTCTTTTCTTCTAAAATATTTAATGTATTTTTTTGAGAAGTAGAGTTATAGGCAGGGAGAGGGAGAAACACAGAGAGAGATCTTCCATCCCCCAGATGCCTGCAATGGCCAGAGCAGGACTGATCCGAAGCCAGGAGCCAGGAGCTTCTTCCAGGTCTTCCACACGGGTGCAGGGGCCCAAGCACTTGGGGCATCTTTACTGCTTTCCCAGGCTATACTCCAAGAGCTGGGTTGGAAGAGCATCATCTGGGAAATGAACCAGTGTCCATATGGGATGCCAGCACAACAGGCAGAGGCTTAGCCTACTATGCCACAGCACCAGTTCCCCAATATCCCATTTTCAATAATGGATAGAACAAATGAGACAAAGTAAGGAATTAGAGACCTTGAAAAAAATAAACCAATCTTTCTGAAACTTTCCCAAAAACCTGAATAGAAGAATTTAAACCAAATTTTGCAGCTATTAAAAGAATTATACACCATGACCAAGTGGCATTTATTCCTCAGGTACAAGGATGGTTCAGCTTGTGAAAACTGATCGGTATAACATGACATTAACAGATTAAATGGGAAAAAAATCCAAATGGTAATCTAAATTGATTTTACAAAGCTTTTGACGAAATTTATCACCGTTTTGTGATTTAAAAAAAAAACTCTCATGGGCTTTTCAGCCAGATCGGAATGCTGATTCTGAGGCCAGAGTGCTGTTTAGGACATCCGCCATTCTATGAGTCTGCTGAGTATCTCGCTTCCCATGTTGGATCACTCTCCCCTTTATTTATTCTATTGGTTAGTATTAGCAGGTACTAGACCTGTTTATGTGTTCCCTTTGACTCTTAGTCCTTTCATTATGATCAATTGTGAACTGAAATTGATCACTTGGACTAGTGAGATGGCATTGGTACATGCCACCTTGATGGGATTGAATTGGAGTCCCCTGGTATGTTTCTAACTCTACCATTTGGGGCAAGTCAGCTTGAGCATGTCCCAAATTGTACATCTCTTCCCTCTCTTATTCCCACTCTTATGTTTAACAGGGATCACATTTCAGTTAAATTTCAACACTTAATTCTGTAATTAATACACAGTTATTCTTAAAGGCATTCCGATCTGGCTGAAAAGCCCATGAGAGTATTTCAGGCATGGAAAGCCAAGACACTCTGGCAAAACAAACAAACAAACAAACAAAAAAGCACAACTAAATGAAAGATCTCTGTGAGTGAGATCCCAGTGGAAAGAACAGGTCTTCAAAGAAGGAGGTACCTTTCTCTGAAGGGAGGAGAGAACCTCCACTTTGACTATGACCTTGTCTAAACAAGATCAGAGTCGAAGAACTCAAGGGGCTTCCATAGCCTTGGAAACTCATGACTGGTGCATAGGGAGATTACTGATGCCATAAACAGGAGTGTCAATTTGTAAAGTCAACAACAGGAGTCACTGTGCACTTACTCCTCATGCAGGATCTCTGTCCTTAATGCGCTGTACATTGAGACTTAATGCTATAACGAGTACTCAAACAGTATATTTCACTTTGTGTTTCTATGGGGGTGCAAACTGTTGAAATCTTTACTTAATGTATACTAAACTGATCTTCTGTTAAAAAAAAAAAAAGAAGAAATTATCAATTCCCAACTTGACTCTCACTGGGATTAAACATGACTATAGGTCTGATCTGATTTCATCATCATTTTAAAAAAATCATCTATTATTTTTCACTTTATGTTTCTGTGTGGGAGCAAACTGTTGAAATCTTTACTTCATGTATGCTAAACTGATCTTCTGTATATAAAGAGAATCGAAAATGAATCCTCATGTGAATGGAAGGGGAGAGGGAGTGGGAAAGGGGAGGGTTGTGGGTGGGAGGGACGTTATGGGGGGGAAGCCATTGTAATCCATAAGCCATACTTTGGAAATTTATATTCATTAAATAAAAGTAAAAAAAAAAAGAAATAGCAGAGGCAGAAATTAAAAAAAAAAACTAGGAATGGAAAGAAATTTCCTTATAATAAAAACCGTATATGGAAAATCACAGCAGATGTCATACTCAGTGGTGAAGGATTGTATGCTCTTCCTTGGGGGCCAGCACTGTGATGCAACAATTGAAGCTACTGCGTGTGGCACTGGCATGCTATGTGAGCACTGGCTGTTTCATTTTCATTCCAGCTCCCTACTGATGTGCTTGAGAAAGCAGCTGAAGATGGCTCAGTATTTGGGCCCCTGCACCCATGCTTAAGACCCAAATGAAGCTCCTGGCTTCAGCCATTTGGAACCAGCAGATGGAAGACCTCTCTGTTTCTCCCTCCTCTGCATAACTCTGCCCTTCAAATAAATACAACTTGAAAAAAGAAATGAAAGAAAGATCTTCCTTGAAAACCAGACCATGACGAGGATACTCATGCCTTCCACGTGTATTTAACATTTTACTAGCAGTTCTAGACAAAACAATTAGGTAAGTAAAAGAAATGAGACATTCATATTTGTAAAGGAATGAGTAAATTTTCCTTCACAAATAGTATGATCTTATATTTGGAAAAACCTAAAAGTTTCACCAAAAAACTATGAGCGAATAAATGATTTTTAAATTGTTTGTTTCAAAAAATGATGAGCAGAGATCTCCCAACCACTGTTCACTTCCCGACACATGGTGCTGACATATATATATATATATATATATATATACACATATATATATACACACACATATATATATATGGAATAGAATGTAGAGCCCAGAAATAAGTCTTTGCATGAATAGTGAAATGATTTTCAATAAGTATCAAGACTATTCAATGGGGGAAAGGGCAGCCGTTTCAACAAATAATGCTGTGAAATCTGATATTCACAGGCAAAAGAATGAAGTTGAACCTTACCAAAAACCATATATAAAAATTAACTCAAGGGATGGACATTTAGCCTAGTGGTTAAAATGCCAGTAAGATGACTGTGGAGTATGTAGGTTTGATACTCATCCCTGGCTCTTAATTCCAGCTTCCTGATAATGCAGACCCTGGATCAAGTAATTGAGTTCCTGCCACCCTTTAGGGAGACCTGAATTGCCTTTTTGTCTCCCAGCTTCAGCTGTTGCAGACATTTGGGGAGCAAACCAGCAAGTTGGGAGGTCTCTGTCCCTGTCACTCTGTTCCTCAAATAAATATTTAAAAATTCAAAATAGATCAAAGATATAAGATCTAAAACTATACCTCTCTTAGAATAAAACATGGGGTAGAAATTTCATTACATTGTGTTTAACCATTTTTCTCATATGATACCAATGGCACAGACAACAAACAGATAAATGGGGTTTCATGAAAATCAAATAATTTCAGGTATTGAAAGATACTACCAATATAGTTAAAACCCATAGGACAGGAGGAGACATTTGTAAACCATGTCTCTGATATAAGATTACTCTTCAGAATATAGAGTATTCTTCAATTTCAACAAACAACCAGATTCAAAAATTGACAAGAGACTTGAATAGTCATTCTTCAAAGAAAATATACAAATAGCTAATAAACACGAGAAGATCAACATTTCTAATCACTAGAAAAGTTAAAATCACAACTTCAATCCTTGCAACTATTGGGATCACTAGTATTTAAAAAATCGAAAAAGAACAAGTGTTGGTGAGTATGTAAATTAATTGGAAATTTTGTATTACATTGTATTACATTGTACATCAACCATGAGGACAAGAGCTGATCAAGTCACTGTTTCTCATAGTGTCCATTTCACTTCAACAAGTTTCCCCTTTGGTGCTCAGTTAGTTGTCACTGATCAGGGAGAACATATGATATTTGGTCCCTTTGGGACTGGCTTAATTCACTCAGCATGATGTTTTCCAAATACTTTATCCCATTTTAGTATTTTTTTTTTTTCGTTCTAGTACCATTGGTTGAACTCTGTAATTAACACACAGTTATTCTTAGGTGTTTACATTTTAACTGAAAAGTGATCCCTGTTAGGAATTTGGAAAACATTATGCTGAGTGAAATAAGCCAATCCCAAAGGGACAAATACCACTTGTTCTCCTTGATAGGTGACAACTAACTGAGCACCAAAAAGGAAACCTGTTAAAGTGAAATGAACACTATGAGAAACGGTGACTTGATCAGCCCTCACCCTGACTGTTGATGAGCAACTTGATATGTTATCGCTCTTAGTATTTTTTTGTTTGCTCTACTTAATACTTTTGGTTGAATACTGTAATCAATACACAATTCTTCTTAAGTGCTGAAACTTAACTGAAAAGTGTTCGCTGTTAAATATAAGAGTGGGAATAAGAGAGGGAAGAGATGTGCAATTCGGGACATGTTCAAGCTGACTTGCCTCAAACGGTAGAGTTAGAAACATACCAGGGGATTCGAATTCAATCCCATCAAAGTGGCATGTACCA